CCCCCTTAATAAATGCAATTTAGAAATAGTTCCCCCTCAATCTATGCATAACCTTTATATCTTCCCCCTTTTGACATTAACAAAAAGAATTAAAAGTAAACTTTTATTCATTTAAAAGGGAAATGCAGAATACAACGGATAAAAACACAATCATATTTAATAAGGAGAAAATAAAGAAGATGTCGTGGCGCCAGTGTTGGCCTTCTTCTTTGAAGCCTCGGTTTTGGTCCTTGACTTTCCTCTAGCCATTGTTGAAGCGTTTAGAAAGTGAGTAGAGGCTTAAAGTATGCAAGAGGAATGTGAGTTGTGTGTTAAAAATGATCAAGGATGGTTAATATTTATAGGAAAAGAGAATTTTGGCCCTTGGTGTTAAAAATATGGCTGTTAGGCATTGAATGAGGTGCCCAACAGCTATGATTTTTGAACTACAACAGGCTTCCCAGCGATGGTAAGGTTCTCCCATCGATGGGAAGACAGGTACTGGAAAGGGAGGAAAAAAGTGAAGGCAGCCTTCCCATCGATGGTAAGGTTCTCCCATCCATGGGAAGACAGCTACTGGAAATCCGTTAAAAAATATTTTTTTAAAAAAAAAAAGTGTCAAACACCCAGCGATGGGAAGAAGTTCCCATCGATGGGAAGAGGGTTGCTGGTTAGAAAATACTTCCTTCCCAGCGATGGGATAAACCACCCATCGCTGGTTCCCCCTGAGTTCCTCACTTTGATACGTACCTGCAAAAAAAACAACACTTTGGTACCCAAAGTAGTCTATGGGTCCTTGGGGGTTAGTTAACCTTTATTGCCCACACACACCCAAAATTCGTTTCCTAACGCGCGCGCACACACACGATTAGATGATTGTTTAGGAATTACCTTGGCCAACCCGTCGTCTTGTGGTTGGCGGGTTCCAGTCTACCTGAACGGAGTGCCGATACCAGGTGTGATTTATGTTGGTTCCGGTAACGGAATGTGGACTTTCTTCTTTTCATCAAAGTAGAAGAAATAGTAAGGTTTCTTTTGTGCATTCTCCCGTGGAGATTGTTTATTATATGAATATCCTTTTCCAAAGGATTTCTTTTCGTTAGCAGCATCAAATATGTTGTGTGTTTCATTATAGGTGAAGTGCCTATGCCTGGTAAAACACACAGGAGCTATATGTCCTACCATGTTGCAATAATGGCATACTTCGTTTGGGTTGAACATACGCCTAGGTTGATAATAGCTAGGGGGCCTAACCATGTTTGTCCTATTTTGAGAAAAGGATGGTTTATGCATGTTTTCAAAAGGATCATTTCTAGGTGTTCTCATATTGTCTCTTCTATTTTGAGAAAAAATATTTTTATGCACAAAAACATTTTGAATTAAAAAGAATCCAACAGATGGTACAACGTTTTCATTCCTAGGTTTTTGTCTAGGTTGTCTAGTGTTCTTAGATTGACTAGGTTTTCTATTTACTTGATTTTTAGCTTTCTTATGTTGAGCCTTAGGAGGTTGTCTAGGTGTTTGCTCAACGTTTTCTTTATCCTTAGCTTCGTTTTTATTAAAACCTATTCCTTCTTGGGGTACATCAAATTGGGCTGAAGGCTGCTTACCCATCGATGGGTAATATCTCCCATCGCTGGGTGAAATGATTCTGGAATCCCGGGATCACTTTCCCATGCATGGGTGAAATCTACCATCGCTGGGTATATTGCTAGTCCAGAACCATGGCTTAGCCGACCGGCACTGAAACCCGACCGAAAAATGCAAAGTTCTCCAAAGTAAAAACTAAGTGTTTAAAACAATTATTTAATGTATTTTGATGTCAAAATAAGATTTGTATGTTGAAAACCACGTCGTTAAGGTAAAAACCACGAATGACCAAGTCAATGCCGTACACGGGTGGTTTTTACCAAAAGACAAAACCAAAAGGTGGTTTTCATGATGTTTTGATTGGAGAACCATTTAAATGCATTCAAAAACAATTCCTACACAAAAAGACTTGAAAACCACTTCATTTAAGTAAAAACCACGGCTAGCCAAGTTTATGCCGTTTTGCATGGTTTTTATCAAACGACAAAAAACGAAAGGTGGTTTTTGAAGTGTTTTTGATGGAAAACTATTTAAATGCGCCCAGAAATAAAAACCAATCATAAAAAGTTGAAAACCACTTGGTTAGTTCGGACGCCAAAAACCAACACCGAAAACCGAATGCCGAACGCCGGTTTCTAAAACCCGAACGCCGGATGGCTTGGTTTTTGGTTTGGGCGAACACCAAGTGTTTTTAATGTTTTAAACATGTTTGAAAAATATTTTTATGATGTGAAATGCAATGAAAAGAATTTTAGCCTAAAGAGCCAAGGTGTAAAGATTGGGTCGGTCTTGATCACAATTGTGACCGACTCAACGACACTAAGACTACGGTCTTCGTTCTTGGTCTTCTTTTGTCCATTGTTCTATTTCTTCTCATATTTGGTTCTCGCCTTGTATATTCAATGACTTGTCTCGTTCACGGCGGTTTGGCATTATCAAAACCTGTCATAACAACGAACACGGCTTTAGTATGAAAACGTGATAAACCCGTGTTTCAACAAAAACAAGAAGGGGGACTCGCCTTTCTCGTTCCAACCTAGGAGGGATAGTGTTCTCCTCCACCCCACCGTGCATGTTCAGCCTTTTCGCAGGCATCCCGTGCCCATACCCCACTTGGGGTACATCAAATATACACCAATACAAAAATAGGTACACACAAACATTTAAATATTTAATATCTATACATGCACAAACATTAAGCATATGTGTATGTTTATTTTTAGCTTGGTGTACCTCGGGAAAAAAGATTAAAGTAAGAGTAAAACTTTGAAAATATACCAAAATCGGAGTTTCATATTTTTATTTTCGAAATAAGCATTAAAATGCATTACCAATCATGATCGATATACATTACTAAAATGTATAGTAAAATATCTATGTAGAGTGCCACATTCCTACCGTGAGAATTCCTATTTAGAGAATAAAAAATGGAATTTTTATTTTAATATTATTGATTTTGTTGGAGATAAGGTTTTGAGGGTGTTTGCATTTTTTTTTTCCGTCCCATTTTAAATTGCATGTTTGCATTTTTTTTCCGTCCCAAAATAAGTTGCATGTTTTATGCTACTTGTTATCGTAAACTGTTAAGAGTAAAATTTCTAAACTACCTCTAAAATAAGTCACTCTTTTTCACCTTATCTTCTCATTCATCTTCACCCCTCCTAAAAAGTAATGACAATTTCGAAAAATCAACTCTATTTTTTCTCTTCCTTAAACACGCCCAAAAGTCAAAACAAGCGATTTAAAACGGGACGGAGGGAGTATAAATATATAGTATAAACACATTAAATAATTTACTATAACATGAAATAAAATAAAAGATACAAAATTTTTTGAACTATAGATTTTTTAAAATTCTTTATAGTTACAATTTAAAAAAATTAAAGAACAAATGACCCGGTTAAATTTTGGAAAAATTAGTCGTATGGGAAAAACGGGATGTGGGACTCGCCTTTCTCGTTCCAACCTAGGAGGGACAGTGTTTTCCTCCATCCCACCATGCATGTTCGGCCTTTTCGTAGGCATCCCGTGCCCATACCCCACTTGGAGTACATCAAATATACACGAATGCAAAAATAGGTAAACACAAACATTTAATATCTATATATGCACATATATTAAAATAGGTAAACACAAACTCTAACTATAATAGGTAACGATCATAATTAAAATATATAATATTAAATATATTAAATAATTGATATACTCCGTAGTTAACACATTATGACATTCTCTAATGATGTATCATTATGCATGTAACTAATCCACTCTTTATTATATTATTTTATTAATTTAAACCATTTCTATTAGTACTTAATTCAATCACCATTAATTTTGTATAATTTTTTTTGTTTTTCAATTAACATACCAATATATATAAAATTATATTTATAGAATTTCAAAAGTTTAGAATATATATGAGCGCGTGCTTCGCACGGGGTAAACACTAGTATAAATATCTATACACACATTTAAGAATTTACTATAACATGAAATAGAATTAAAGATACAAAATTTTTGGAATTTTAGATTTTTTATAATTCTTTATAGTTACCATTTTAAAAAAAAAGAACAAATAACCGGGTCAAATTTTGGAAAAGTTAGTCGTACGGGAAAAACAGGAAGGGGGACTCGCCTTTCTCGTTCCAACCTAGGAGGGACAGTGTTTTCCTCCATCCCACCATGCATGTTCGGCCTTTTTGCAGGCATCCGTGCCCATACCCCACTTGGAGTACATCAAATATACACCAATGCAAAAATAGGTATACACAGGCATTTAATATCTATACATGCATAGACATTATGTATATGTGTATGTTTATTTTTAGCTTGGTGTACCTTATGAAAAAAGATTAAAGTAGGAGAAAAACTTTAAAAATATACCAAAATAGGAGTTGCATGTTTTTATTCGCGAAATAAGAGTTAAAATGCATTACCAATTATGATCGATGTACATTATTAAAAAGTATAGTAAAATGTCTATGTAGAGTGCCACATTAGAAATTACCATAAATAGGACTAAAACATAAAGAAATGTACTAAAATAGGACTTTCATGTTTTTTTTCCTGAAATACATGCACATTACTCTATTTTTTAGTAATGTACATGACCATGTTTGGTAATGTAAATCACATTGTGGGATTAAAAATATGAAAGACTTACTTTAGTATATATTTAGTGTTTTAGACTTTTAGTCCTACTTTAGTTTTTCTATCTGTAACATTCGTACACTAAGAATATCTATTTAGAGAATAAAAGGATAAAACTTTTATTTTGATATTTGGAGTGATAAATCTGGGTCAAACAAATTCAAACTGGTCTCAGTTCACAAGTGGGTACTATGAACAATCATTATTATACCAAGGCCGCCAGACAAGGCCAAACTCATATCACTTCCCCATAATTATTGTTCGCTCATTCTCACTTTCCATTCAATTTCTTGCTCCTGCACACTTGTACTCTCTTTCCTTCACCTCCTTTAATTTCTCAATTCTCCAAAAAAGAATAAATTACTCGCCAGAAACCCTAGCTCTTCTCCAAAAGATTTGAAACCTGGGTCTGTTTGTTCTCTGCATCTAATTTCCAAAAGAAAGGGAAAACAATATATCTATCCATCCTTCCGACCGTCTGTATGTCTTCAAGCAAAGCAATGCAAAAACAAGAAGAAAATGTCAGTTTTTGACAGATCTGTTTGTTAAGGTTGCTGCTGCTGTCCAGTCCATGTGTGTCAAGCTTCGAAGCACCATTATTGTTAGTCTCTATTTTTTTTCTATCTATTCCATCTTTATCTTGGTATTCATTAATTATAGAGCCTTTCAAGAAAAAAAATATGAATTATGGCTAATTCTTTTCATTTTATAGATTTTTATACCACACAATAAATGATTTAAATGCCACACAATAAATATATACCACACATATACTTCATTGGGTTTTAAAAAATTTTTTGGTCAAACAGTGACACATTTTGATCATACGTTTTGGGAAAAGTATATTTAATTATAATATAAATTGAATATAATTAAGTTCATCTTTGGATATTATTTTGATATATCAAATTTTTATATCATTTATTTATTTAGATTATATTTAATTTGTAGTCAAAAGATGTTACTGTTTGACTAAAAAAAGTCAAAATAGGAAATGATTTTAGGATCTACTACAGTCTACAGGTATACTCCCTCCGTAGTTCAGTCCACAAATAAACTTCTTTTTTATTAACTTTGTTGGTCTATCTTCGTCACCTATTTTATAAAATAATATAGTCATGACATATCTAGTTTTGTCTATCTTTTGATATAGTTTTTTAATATGTAATTTTTAGGACATGAGTAGAGTATTACTCTACTTAAAATTGGACCGGACTTTGACCCGGATGAGAAATTGGGTCAAGGGCTAACCGGTTGAACCGGTCAACCCGGGGTCAACAACCCGGTCAAACCATAAATTAAAATGCTAATATTTTATATTATATTATTAGATAGATATTTTTAGTTAAAAAAGTATTCAGCTTGTGTTTTTTACTCCTCAATCTAATTTTTCATATCATTGTGCATATATTATTTCATATTTTTTATTTTTTATTCTATTATTTTTATTATTATTATTATTAAAATTAATATTGAATGTCTAACAGATACTTAAATAATAAGGTAATATTCATATTTTTTAAAAATAAAGAATAGATAATATGTTCTTATATACTTTTTACATTTTACCGAGTAAAATTTATATTTAGTTGATTAAGTGATTTAAAATATAAAAAAGAGCATATTAAATTATAATTAATATTTTAAAGATGAAAATAATACTTTAAGTATAGATTGTTTATATTTTTCTTAAGATAAAAAATAAATAATACCAATTACTTTCATGTTTGAACTATTTTAAAATTTAATTATATATATATATATATATATATATATATTATAAATATAGTTCTTTTTATAAATAGTAAGAAATCTTTTTAAATTATTCTCTAAATAGATTAACAGACTAATATATTTCATAGTGCAAGGCATTTGCATCACAAACATAGTACCTCATTTGGTTAAAACCCCTATTGCCTATTGCTAAGTCTCAGGTTCAATTCGTACCTGGGAACCGGCAGGGCGTCACCCAGTTCGCCGGTTCTTCTGGGTTTGAGCGGGTCAAAGCAAAAGTGGGTTTTAATGTTAAACCAGACTGGATTGGTGTCTGGTTTGCGGTCCAATCGGTTGGACCGGCCCGTTCGGTCCGGTTCTAATAACATTGCCTCCATCCACAAATAAATTTCATTTTTACTATTCACAAGGTCAAACTTTATTCACTTTGTTGGCCTATCTTCGTCACACAATTGATAAAATAATATAGGCATGACACTTCTAGTTTTGTAGATCTTTTGATATAGTTTTTTAATATGTAATTTTTATTTTTAAATTTTACACTATTTTTATATAAAATGATTTGAAAATAACTTCACTCAAACATCGTAATGCGCAATAGGAAGTTTATTTGTGGACGGAGAGAGTATATGGTAGGACACAAAAATACTAGAAGGGTATTAGAACTTGTGGTCAAGTTATTAACACTAGGGACAGGTCAGTTTAAGATTAATGGAGTGGATATATCCAAAAATGTTGTTATTATTATTATTATTATTATTTGAGGATTAAGGAAAGTATTTAATTAATAATTCTTTTTGAAATTACAGCAAAGGCAATAAGAAAGAATGCCAGTGCCAGTAGTGATAGCGAAGCTTGGTTCTACAATTGGTGGGAAACTTGCCGATCTAACAGTGGGATCCATTGGAAAACAAATTGGTTATGTCATCTCCTACCGTCACAACCTAACAGAGCATAAGGATGCCCTCAAAGAACTCAAGAATCACAGAGATGTGGTGCAGCTTAGGGTTGATGAAGCCAGAAGACAAGGGGAAGAAATTTTTGAGAAAGTTAAGGATTGGATCAGCACGGCAGACGAAATTACAAAAAATGCAGAAGAGTTGTGTGCAAAGGGACCCCAGGATTGTTCGTGGAGGTCATGTCCCAATCTTTGGTTACGGCATCAGATAAGCAGAGAAGCAAAAAAGATGACAATGCGAATTCAAAACCACAAGGACAAAGGGAAGTTTGAGAGTGTTTCACACTTCATTCCTCCAAAGTTACTAGGTGTACCGCCTACTAGCGAGGAAAATGATGAACTTATAGAATCCAGAATCTCAATCAGGAATCAGGTTCTGGAAGCATTGAAAGATTCCTCCAGAGTTGGGATGTGTGGGCTTCCTGGTGTTGGGAAAACTACCTTAGCCCGAAAAATAGCAGATGTAGCTGAAGAGCAGAAGGAGGTTTTTGGGTTGGTGGTCTGGGTAACTGTTGCCCAATTTTCGATGCTTGAAATTCAAAAACAAATTGCAGAGATTGCTGGAAAGAAATTGGAAAAGGAAACCTTGAATGTTAGAGCTAAGCTTATCCTTCAGAGGTTGGAGCAAGAAAAAAATGTACTTGTAGTGATGGACGATCTTTGGGAGAGACTTGATTTAAGCTTAGTTGGGATTCCACCTAAATGTAGAATTTTGTTCACTTCAAGACATGAAAAATTGTTGTCCACCCAAATGAATTGCAATGACATTTTTACGGTTGGTAAGTTGTCCGAAGAAGAGGCTTGGAAATTATTTAAAGAGAACGCTGAGTTTGATGAATCCAATCATACAGAATTGGTACCTGTGGCAAAAGAGGTGTGCGAACGTTGTCGTAGATTGCCTCTAGCATTAGTCTCAGTTGCTCGTGCACTAAAAAAGAAAAGAGAGGTAAGCAATTGGAGGACTGCCCGAAGACGGTTGGAAACATCTTTAGGAAAATACCTGCAAGCATGGAATAAAGAAATAGGCCCTTCGTTAAAGCTGAGTTATGGTTATCTAAATAGCGAGCTGCAATCTATTTTCCTACTCTCAGCCGTGCTGTCTCACGACCCTTTGATTAAACACTTACTCAGGTATGCTGTGGGTTTAGGTTTACTTGAAGGTGCACACTCCATGAAAGATGCTCATGATACATTGGATGAAGATATAAGTGATTTGAAGGACTCAAGTTTGTTGCTTGATAGCTTTTCTGATGATCGTGTCACAATGCATGACCTCTTTCGTGACTTTGCATTTCAAGAACAAGGGCCCCGTGCGAAGAGATTTAAAGGAGGGCAAGGTGACATAGAAGACATGAGACAATTAGAAGGCTGCACTAGATTGGTATTGGACGAATGGGATGGAATACTTCCAGGTGAGTTGCCTTGTCCCAAACTTGAATTCTTCTTGCGAAATGGTGAAGAGGACTCTGATTTGACAATTCCAGACAATTTCTTTAAATCATTGAATGAACTCAGAGCGATGGGATTTAGCGGTGTGAGTTTTTCGTCCTTGCCAACACTTGGCCACCTACAAAAGCTTAGAACATTGTGTCTGGAACGTTGTCGATTGGAAGACATATCGCAGGTTGGGAATTTGAATAGTTTAAGAGTTCTTAGTTTTGCTGGGTCTAATATTAGGCAATTGCCGGGCGCATTAGCACAGTTGAGATGCCTGCAAGTGTTGGATTTATCCCGTTGCCGCGGTTTAGAAGTGATTCCACCAAAAGTTTTATCTAGTTTGACTAGATTAGAGGTTTTGAACATGGAATGGAGCTTCTGCCAATGGGAAGTTGAAGGACCCAACAAAGAGAGTAGGAATGCAAGCCTTGATGAGTTAAGGCATTTGACGAATCTCTATGATTTAAACATCGATATTCCCCAAAACATTGCTGTGCCAGAAGACTTGTTCATTGAAATGCCTTTGGAGAGATTCATGATATTTAATGGACATGCACGGAGGCGGATGTGGATGGATAATGGTTGTTCTCGGACATTGGGAATGTGTAGTGTGAATTTGGATGATGAGATGCAAAAGCTTTTGGGAAAAGTTCAAGACTTATGTTTACATGATGTAAACGTCAAAACTAACGTTTTGGGCGGGACAGTATTTCGTCATCAAAGTGTGGGACTGGAACATCTTGAAGTCGTTGGTTGCAAATCTATCAAAGCCATTGTGGGGTCTACTAATAAAGATTCAACTGATGCCATTGTGTTTGATGCATTGCGTTCTTTGAACTTGAGAGATTTGCCAATGCTTTCGGCATTCCACGAGCAAGAGGAGGAGGAGGAGGAGGAGATTAATGCAAAAAGTAAATCACTTTTCAACAGCAAGGTACGTTCATATATAAACTTATTATTATTCTTTTAACTCTAATTTAGCTCTCTTAGAGCAGTGGTACTACTCATAACGCCGAGCGGTGTTATTGGCATTTTCACGCCGGGGGGCGTTAAACACCGCCCCCTCCCTCGTTATCCCGGCATTAGAACTTCCGCGTCATAGTTTTGACGCAATTCGCAGGCGTGATAACGCCTCTTCCTTCTTTTTTCTCCTTTTTTCCTCTTTTCTTCTCTATAAATTAAATTATTTTTTAAAAAAAATTCAACACAAATACAAATTTCTCTATCATCTTTTTTTAAAAATTATTATTCAACTATATCTTTTATTTTTTCATGAATGTAATTTTTTATTTAATGAATGTAATTTTTTTATTTAATGAATGTAGTTTTTTATAATGAATGTAATTTTTTTATTTAATGAATGTAATTTTTTTATTTAATGAATGTGATTTTTTATAATGAATATAATTTTTTTAATGAACTATTCTCGTTTCAATTCTTTTAAATAATTAAATATTGGAATTTAATGAATTTAATTTTAGAAGATGTGTATTTAAAATGTAAAAAATGAAAGTTTGAAGCCCCCGTTTGAAGCCCTGGGGCTTCAAACCCATTTCCAGTGAAATTGTGAGTTAAGTTAAGGCTGACGTGGCAGGGAGAAGGTTTGAAGCCCCGGGGCTTCATGGGTATTTCCAGTGCTCTTACAGACCCGCCCAATCATTTCAGAAGACTAATGCTATTTAACAATTTAGGCCCAAAATTTTTAAATAATAAAAGTTAGTATGATATTCCAAAAGTACTCATATTGGTTATTTCATTAAATATAATCTAATAATTGAATTTAATTTTTTTAATTGTGTTCGAATGACAGTAACAAAATCTTAGTTTAGATCTTCATAAGCAATATTGTCGATAAGGAAATTGTCTGTACTCTGTAGTCATTACAGCCAAATTATTAATTCTTTCTCATTTCATGGTAGAGTATATGCTCAAGTCTTCAATAACTCTAAAATAGTTTTAAAACTTAAAAAAGAAACGGAAAATATCAATTTTTTATTAGAAATTGAGAAATGCAAAAGACACTAAAGACAGAGAGCAACACAAATCAAAATTTTTAAAATACGTTTTTTGAATTGAAAAATAAATTACTTGGACATTATTTTTAAATGGAAAAATTTACACAAATACTCCAAGACATTTTTGATTTTACGTTGATACTCTGAAGTTCAATAATCTACACAACTACTAGAAATTACTCAATTTTACACCAATACTCCGGAATGCTAACTATGTGGATTACGTTGCATTTTAAATGAAAATTTTAAATTATTAAGTATATGTTGGTAACTAAGGAGTGATAAAAAAATAAATAAAAATAGTGTTTTAGAAAAACAAAGAATTTTAAAATAGGTATTTTATAATCAAATTTATATTCATTGGAGATCTTTAAAATATGAATTTAGTGCTATATCAACTTTAAAATTCCCTAATTGTTTTTATCAGAAATACTATTCATAATTTGTCCAATTAAAAAATAAACACTTTATTTTTTATTTTAAATCGGCATGGAGGAGGTAATTATAATGCATTCAAGGTATTTTTTTTATTTTTGTCATAGTTATTAATGGCGTGTGGCGAGGGGCAGGTGAGAGGCGGGCATTCAAATGGCGAACATATATAATAACAGTAATAATAACAAAATAATAATAATTAATAGTAATAATAATATTATTAATAAGAGCACTGGAAATACCCGTGAAGCCTAAGGGCTTCAAACCGTAGCTTTAAAATTTTTCTCTCTGTCACGTTAGCTTTAACTGGGCTTCAAACCTTCATCTTTTACATTTTTAAATATACATCTTCTAAAAATAAATAAATAAAATTTAATTATTTTATTATTTAATTATATTGAAACAAAAACAATTTAAAAAATACGTTGATTAAATTTAAAGAAAATGAAACGACAATAGTTTAAAAAATTACATTCATTAAATTTAAAAAAAAGAAAGTTACAATAATAAAAAGATACATTAATTGAAAAACTAAGGTAAATTATATTTGGCTTTGATTTCTTTTTTTTCTCGTTCTCTCAAAGATCATCCGTTTGAAGCACGATAAAGTAGAAAGGTCGGTTTCCCACTTGTGGTAGGATCTAGGGCAATACGAAATTGTAAATTGAAAAAACAGGAAAAAAAATAAAAAAAGAAGAGTTACAGATCAGGTTATTGTATAGGTTATTAAGTAAATTAAAAAAAGAGGAAACAAAAAGAAAAAAAGAAGGGGAGAAAAAGAGAAGAGTTACGGATCTAGGTTACCCACTCCGGTCGGATGGTTTAGATTTAACAATCCTAAGCTTTAGCGGAGGATCCCATTCGAAAGAAAACACTTCTGCGTCGATCCAAACGATGGCGCACGCATCTCTCCACAAATCCAGGCATGAATGGCGACCGCCATGGCGCGCCTCGCGTAAAATGCCTCGCCCCTACTAGGTATGGCGGAAAGACCTTGCCACAGCGCCTTTGTGGCGCATAAGCGCAAATGGTGCTCGCCATTAATAACTTCAATTTTTTTTAAACTAATTATCAACTTATACTTAATAATTGTCTAGTCACCATTTAAAATATCATATACTTGTAGCCTGAAATATTGGTGTAAAATTGAGTAATTTCTGGGAGCAGTGGTGTAAATTGGTCAAACTTTATTCACTTTGTTTGTTTATTTTTCCTACTTATTTCATAAAATAATATAGTGTTGTCACCTCTAGTTTTGTACAACTTTTCATGTAGTTTATTACTATATATATTTTATATTAAAATTTTACCCATATATTCTAATAAATTGAATTGACAATAAAGTCGGTCGAGTCTCGTAACGCGCAATGAGAAGATCTTAGGTGGACGGAAGGAGTATTGAATATGAAATGGAAATGAACAATCATAGCCTAGTTCTATAAAAATAAGGATTCAAAAACAAAATAAAAAAAGTAGAAACTGGAAATGTAACCAGGAATGAATGAATTAGTTAAAGAATCTTAATATGAATTACTCCCTCCGTCCGAAAATATTCTTCCCATTTGACTTTTTACGGTCTCCAAGATTGCACTTTGACCACTAATAACTTTATTTATACATGAATATATTTTATAAAAATTTAATATTTGAAAACTATATTTCAAAATGAATATATTCATATTAAAGTTATATCGTAATACAATGTGTTTTTTTCACATATCATAGTCAAAGTTTACAAACTTTGATCAAGAAAAGTCAAATGAGAAGAATATTTTCGGACGTAGGGAGTAATAGTTTTGACTTAATAATAATCACAACAACAATAACAAATATCAATAGTATATATGTACGGTTCCGTTGGCACCGGCCAACAGTGTCACTGCATTTCTGGAGCAACTCTGGTGGTCCAATCAAAAAATTGATGGTTCTACCCCCTAAACCCCCACCTTAGCCCCCTCCCTAAGCCCCCCTACAAATGTATTGCATAATAGCCAACATTTGGAGGGAGGCTTAGAGTTGTAAGAACCGCCAATTATTGGATTGGAGTACGTGCAAAAATACAGTGGCACCGCAAGTGCTACCATTGGCCAGTGTCAACGAAGCCCCACTCATAGTTTATTACTCCACTAACTTGAACATAAATGAGAGGAAGAAAAAGTGAATCGCGGTGCAAAAATAAATTAGGCAGGTCGGAATAAAGAAACATAATTGAAGATGTAAAACAAAGATTTAGGATTGAAGAAAAATAAATCCTTTGAGGAATTGGGTAATGTTATTGTTGTTGTAAAGAAAAATAGGGTTGAAACAAAAATTGGAAATTTTTAAAACACAAATGTTTCCGAAATATACATTTGTAGAATCTACGGAGTAAAATACAAAAATTGAAAAAATTGATACAAATGAATCTGAAACCAAAAAATTCGAAATCATAAAGTCACAAAGACTGAATAATTACTTTATTGATAGATAGATTAGATGAAGGGGAAAACCATAATAAACATGTGACACCAAACTCTTGGAAAAGCATTATAGAGGAATTATTAACGCGGAGGAGGAACGGAAGAGCAATAAAGCAATTCAGTAGTTGAAGATATAGATAGATTATAAAAAGGACCACACTAGTCACTGGTCGGTTCAGACTAGTCTATTAGAAAGATAGATATTTATTTAGGATGAGATCGATTTGCTTTTGAAAAATAGAAATTCTTTTAGTCCGACTAGGACCGGTCCTAGTCTCCGGATTCTATTTTATATAATTTTACAAATGTTACTTTTTAATTTCTTAGAATACCAAAAAAATATAAATACTACCTTTTGTATATCTAATTTCTTCAATTACTACATGTTGATTTTTATAAAGATCTATGCATCACACACACACACACACACAGATATATGTATGTATGTATGTATGTATATTTGTGTGTATATATATATCTAGAATAGATATTAAATAGTAAAATTTGCACTAAATAGTACAGTAGTATAGTACTAAAACATATGTCATTTTCCAATGTAGTATTTAAATTTTTTTATTCCCTAAATAGTACTTGAATAATATCTAGTGGTGGAAATAATGTGTAGTGATGGTGGACATTTAGTTTGAACAATGTCTAATGACGCTAAACATTAACTCGAACAATGACCAATGGACAATGATCAGTGGTACTACATTTGGAAATAAAAACATATAGTACTACATTGGAAAAGTCACTATGTTTTAGTATCATATAGGTAAATTCCTCTCTTAAATACAACAAACAAAAAATAACTTTTTGAGTATAAATTTGTGCATTTGAATTTGTTATGACATATTTTGAAATTTATAAAAAGTGTGGAGCATTAATTTGTATATCAATAAGATAGACCACCAAATTCATTCTTTGAAAAGACTCACAAGTTTCAATGTGGGACAATTAGAAAAGAAAAATTAGAAATAAGGGAGTAATAGCTAAAGAGAAATATTTATATAAGACATACCATAAACACTTTATTAGAAATTTAAAAGAAATGAAAGTATACATTTGGATTAAAATATAGTTTTATAAGAATGTGTTGTAATGAAAGCACTAGCTAAAACTAGTTTATTTAATATGATGCTCATAATATATTTCTCTCAACAGATTTCCTTTCAGAAGATAGAGAAATTGGATCTAAGGGAGTTAAACAGAACGATTTCATCGATATGGGATGGCCAACTTCCAGAAAACTCATTCACCAACTTAAATACTTTGAAAGTCGTAAATTGCGGCTTCGCGGGGAGATTGGTCCCCTTTCATGTACTCAAATCCTTGAAGCATTTGGAAAAAGTAGTGGTTAAATATTGTGATATGCTGGAGGTGGTGTTTGATTTTGAAGAATTGAAAGGTGAGGAGATACAATCACCTGCATTGATTAGTGTCCCATTGAAAAAGCTGTCCCTGTACAAGTTGCCAGAACTGAAGCATGTGTGGAGCAATTGGCCGCCAGAGACGGTGCCCTTCCCATGTCTGGAAGAAGTAGAGATTAAGGAATGTGAGAGGCTGACGAGTATGTTTCCTTCAACAGAGTTTCAAGAGGAGTATCCTCTATTTCCTCACCAAAAGGTAGACTATCAATTTATTATCCAACAAATCAATACCTTATATATATATATATATATATATATATGTATGTATGTATATATATATATGTATGTATGTATGTATCTGTATGTATGTATGTATATATGTACATACATACATTTTCAGACTGTCGTGATGCATGTTACATTTGTAGTAGTGCATTTTCGGAAAGTTTAGTTTACTTACAAAATTGCCTCCGCAACTTTTTCAAATTTTTCAGATATTTTGATTTTCAACAGTCCTTAGATCTTAAATCTAATGGATCGTATTCTCAGTTTTTTCACTATGCATCATTCTCATTTGAACCTAAATCTGTATATGTGTGTGTGTGTATAACACCAGTTATTTATACATCAATTGTTTACACTTGTTCGTTTGAGGCATCTATGATGCTTCGTTGGTAAAAATGGTAGTTTCTACCGCTGACCACCTGCCAAACCCTCCCACCCCAACCTCGCCCTTGCCACCTCCCTATCTTGGCAAGGTAGAGAGTGGAGGCAGGGGAGTTGGGGCGGCTATCTAACGTTAACATTTAACATTAGCTTTTTTAGAATTAATCTACACCATTATAATTTTATTTAAAACGCTAACGCTAATAAGAAACATTGTTCCCAAACAAGGCCTTAATCATGCTAGCGTTTAAGGTAAGTATAATTTGAGTGTAACTTTTTTAGTTTACGCTTATCTTACGATGGGATAAAATATGATATAATTGGTGAATTAAGAAATAAATACTCTGCCCCATTTTAAATTGTTTGTTGTTTAGGATATTTGACCGAAATTATTTTCAAAAGGATTTAAAAATATATTTTATAAATTTAAAAAATATTTCAAAAGGTCTGCAAAAAATAGTAAGTGACAATAACTATATTGTTTTAGTATGAAGAGAGGAATTTTATTAACTCTAATCCACATCGTATTCTCAATGTGTCTTGGGGGTATGTTGTTCAGGTGGTTCAAAATATGAAGAGCTTGACTTGCGATGGAAAATTTGCGAAGATGGTATGGGACGGCCAAATTCCCAACGACTGCTTTTCCAATGTTGAAGACCTATCTCTATATTTGGATGGTGATGATGAGTCAGTAACTACTACTTTTCCTCGTGGATTGTACAAGAGTAAGTTTCCAAATTTACAGAGGCTAGTGTTGAAAGGGTACATGAAAGAGCTTATATCATCATCATCATCATCACGTCCGAAGCCTCCTCTGGATGATGAAGTGGGTGCATCTTTTACAACATTGATTTTTGATAAAATGTATAACTTGGAGCATATTTGGGATGAGAGTGCTCCACCGGTGTTCCTTCTCCAAAATCTTCAGACTCTTCGTGTTTCTCACTGTCCCGACTTAATAAACTTGGGGACATCCTACATTTCTTTCACCAATCTTACAGAAATCCAAGTAAGTTATTGTGGAAAAATGATGAGTTTGCTGACGTCATTAACATCCAGAGCCTTGGTGCAGCTCACAAGGTTGACAATAAGTTGTTGCGAGCAAATGAAGGAAGTTGTGGCAGAGCAACAACTGCTGGAAAAGAATGATGATAATCTGAGTGGAAAGGAGATTATTGTTTTTCAGAAATTAGAATATTTGAAACTTGATGATTTGCCAAGTTTGAGGAGCTTCTGCAACTCTAACTATAGCTTCTAGTTTCCATCATTAGAAGAAGTATGTATTAGAGATTGTCCAAGAATGAGCATGTTCTGTGAAGGGGATGTACATACACCAAATCTTAAAGGTGTCACATATGAAGAAGGCGAGGGAAGCCGAGAAACGCAATGGGAAGGCAACCTTACCAAAACATTTCAATATTTTTTGGTATCACAGGTATGAATGCATACTTACTCCCTCTAATATCTATACCCCTTTTGTCCCATAAATAACACGCCCACTCATTAGCATGCAAGATTTGTTTTTGTTCGTGCCTTGCACGTGAACATTAATTTTTTCTAAAGTAGGTGGCATTGAGTTTCGGATACGGATCTTGACGGATATTAAAAATAAAAAACATATCCTCATCCGTCGTATATTGGTCGGATATCGGATATATATGTATCCGTTTCCAATTTTTTAAGTTAAATTGAAAAATACTTTAATTTTCAATTAAATTAAAGTCAAAATATTATATATTCAATTGCAATTTGTTATGGAGTAATTTTTTCTTATTTTTTATAATTTATAATATTCTACGACAAGGCCATATGGTAAAAACATATACACAATATACATACACAAATATTTTTATGTGTCTACACATGTATTTTGCATATAAAAATGTCTTATACATTGTGATGTCAATAGAAAAACAAAATATAATAATAAAAAATTAGGAAAAATTAAATATAACGGATCAGATATACGGATTAACAGTTACTTAAATAAAATGTCTATGTGGAGCGATTTATAAACGGATCGGATGTATGATTACCAAACTTGTACCCGTTTACCAATTGGATATCTTTAATCAGATACGGATAATAACTGTTTTTAATGAATGCAGATATTTTTTGTATAAACGGATACGAATGCAGACGGTAATCGAATTTTCGGTTATCCATTTATAGCCCTTGTTAAAATGATATCAACACAATTGTAATTCAAAAAGTTAATATTTACGTGCAACTATGCAATGGTGTAGAAAAAAGGTTCACCAAAATAAGAGGAGGTGCTTTAAAATATAAAACCATCCGATCCTTGGACCTTTAACCATAGGTCAAGCGCTTGATTGAATTGATTCATCATTAAAAATGAAGACAACGTCTGATAGAATTTGGAATGGGTATGGACAACTGGATTGGGTAATAAGACACTTGGGTTGAACCACATTAAAAGATTGAATCCAATCGATTAGTTAGTTTAACTCAAGAGCTTTTATATCAGATTATTTCACTCTTGAACTTTTGATGTGGGATGCACTTTAACAATGTCATCAATAGGACTCCCTCCCATTCCAATTTATTTTGCTTTTAATTGCTTACGTTTTCCAAAATAAATCACTTCGACTTCTAAAAAATATATTTGTAGATGAGCAAATGTTATGAGGCAAATGTTCTAAATAGTTTTAAAATATTGCTAGTTTCGTCTCTATAATATTTTATTTACTTTTCCCAACTAGCATCTACTCAATTCGTAATTTATTATTACTAATATAAAAGTACCAAATTCTTGTATGATAATTGAGGTAAATGCATAATCACTCCTGGTGTTCTATTAGTTGGTAAATAGTCTTTGTACTTACAAAAGTCATGTTGCAAAATAGTCCCTATAGTCAAAGAAATGTTGCATAGATAGTCTTTCCTTCAGGTAAAACGTGAAGCACACAAAACACTTGCATACTATGCGGAATGTGAAGCATGAAACAAAATTAAGAAAACTAATTTGACAAATACCCTCATCTTCGTGATAAAAAGCATGGAAGGGCCTCTTGTAGTACATGACATTATGCTACTATTCTTCCAGTATACAAAAGAATAGTATGATTACAAGAATGTGTTTACAAGATTGACTCAGACTATGGTGGCTGACTCAAACTTAAAGATTAGTCACTCTCACTCTTTAAGAGATTTCTCACTTTACAAATGGATTGCATTCTTCACTTTGATGGTAGGAAGTGAAGGGGACTCTCCCTATTTGTATTACTCCTCTATGGGCAGATTAAAGTTCTAGAAACTTTCACATCTCTAGAAGTTTTTATTCTCTATGTCAAAATTTCGGCGGGCCGATAACAATGGATAGAGTGTTGGGTGAAATTAACCACTTGCATATAAAGTTGGGATCCACAATTCTAACCCAAAAGCTTAAGCTGATAGGTAGGGCTTCACCCTTCTATATATGCAAGTGATACTCATCTTTATTTTCCGATTTGGGAACTCCAACACTCCCCCGCAAGTGGTAACTAGCCTGGCTTAGTTAGCACTTGGACAAACGGGTCTAGCATCTCAATCTCTTATAGCTAGCCCACACAACGGGCGGTAGCATCTCAATCTCTTTTCAGCCAACTCAGCCCAAACCACAGACGGGGTAGCTCATTTTTGCTAAACCCACATCCAAACAACCAGGAACAATCAAACCCGGACCGGACCTGCTCCGATATCATGTTAAAATTCCGGCGGGCCAATAACAACGGATAGAGTGTCGGGTGAAATTAACCACTTGCATATAA